AAATGACTCAGTTGAGGTCCAAGTGGGAAATTATGGCAGTGAACATTTTGCATTTCTTATCTCCTTGCATTTTTCCTATTTCATAAAAATCTTCATAAACTGAGTGTCAACTTATGTTCATGCCTTCACTATTGTAAGTGATGCTTCAGTGAACACCTTTGTATAGACACGTGTGTCTGTATCATTTTTCTGTTGAATAGATTTAAAAGTGTTGCTGATAGGTTAAAATGATTATGAACATTTAAGGTTCTTAATACATGCATAATACATTGCTTACCTTTTTGGTAAGCAGTTTACATTCTAACTGGTAATACATAGGAATAGTCATTATTGTTGCCAATAATTGTTTTTATTTTAAAGGTGGAAATTAAATGGAGAAAGCTTGATATCCTTGTATACACTTGTCTCGGAAAGAATGAAATTTTTTCCAGAAGATGTAGGGGTGAACTAGATTACAAGTGCTAGTATAAAGAAAATAGCATGAAGTTTGGTCATGTATTTTACCTCAAAGGTGACTAGGTGTTTACGGGGTCTAGTTCTGAGTCTCTCTTAAATTTTATTACACAGCCTGAAGAAAATACGTGGCAAAGTCTGGAAGCAGAGAATATCTAGCCCTCTGTTCAACACCAAACAATACACAGTGGAACTAGAGCGGCTCTATCTACAGATGTGGGAGCATTATGCAGCTGGCAACAAACCTGACCACATGATTAAGCCTGTTGAAGTCACTGAATCCGCCTAAATAAAGACTGTATGCACAGGAGAATAACCCCTATACCTGAGCCTCAACCTTTTGGGGGAAAGGGAACTAGATAACATACTTTTACTTATCTGTACAGTACCATGTTGCAGATGGGTGACATATAATGATAATAGAATAGCACAGCCAGACTTGCTTCCTGCATGATAGGGAGAGACACAAGAGATGGGAAACTACTGTTCCACAAGGAATCTCCATAGAATTTTGCAGCAACCAGGTGGTGCATAGGTCTGGAAGGTCTGATCTCCTTTGGTCTTCCATGGGATAGTTAGTGTGGAGGGGAGACACAGCTTATCCAGCCATTTTGTGATTCCATGGACTGATTGAGTCTTCTGACTTAATTTTTTTCTTTATATTTTGGGCATTGGAGCTTTTAAAAATGTGTTTGGTTTCAGGTATTTTTATTCGCGTTGAAGTGTATACAGTTCTCTTGAGATAAGGTTTTAAGCTAAAATGTTGCTCCTTGTTTTAGTTTCTGAACTATACAGATTAACGGGGACTTTGCTGGTGTAGTCTTTTTATAGGTTTTATAAACCACTTGAGCCTATATCAGTGATTTTAGTGTCTGACCTAATGTGGAACTCAATCAGTGGTTGGTTGGTTTAGATGACAATTCAAAATGTTTTTCTGGCCCATTTTCCATTTCCCTCTCACTCCCCTCCCCCACTTTAAAATTTCTCCTGTAGCTGAGCTATAACAAATCTAATCTGATTCAGAACACCTCAGAGTGTTTCTCTTAAACACGCCATCTGGTGCCAAATGAAACTTCTTAGGAGTGATTATTAATTATGAAGGGCACAGTTGTGGTACTGTCATTGATAATAATAATAGCTTTTTTTTTTTTTTTGCCTAGTTTTGACCTATTTCATCAGTGTTTTACCTTCGACTGCCCCTTCTATGCTGCTTCCAAAAGTGATAGTGTGTGATATTTACCTTCCTTTCTAAAGTTTGTTTTTTAAAGTGAGTCATGTTCTTCCTATTTCTTTCAGCAGAAATGAAATCCCAGGTAAGTATAAGTATTCAAATATTCAATCAGTAAGTCACAGATATCTCTAATACATTAAATAACTTTCATCAAAAACATGTTATCTTGTAGGTAAAAAGCTCTGAAGGACCATCTGTGTATACAAGTAATTATTTTTCAGACCTTCCTAGGGTATTATATAACTGTCTTCTGGACTTGATCTTGAAGTCTGTATGAACTCAGCCTCTAGTAGCTAACTGCACTGCTACTTGGTTTGGAGTAGAAATTAGATGTTAGCCCTCCTGGAGCTTGAGCTCTTGGTATTAAAAACCATAGGAATAAAATTACTGAATTTCAACAAAGGATTGAGGACTTGAGGCTTAAACAAGCCAACACATGAATATATGTTTTGTCTTGCTGTACTGCACTTATGCTATCCAGTAACAGATAATTTTTTGTCTAATAGTGTTCTAGATTACAGTATCTTTCCAAAGCGCTGAGGCAGTGCACCTATTCTGTAGTTGCAGCTGATGCCTGAATGTATCCTAGCTGACAAATTATTGATCAATAAGAACTTGAATTTCTGAAAGATTCTTATTGCTGACCAAAATCTGAGCAAAGAGTCTCAAATGTAATTCTTAACCAGAATTACATATCAGTGAACTGTTTAGCTTTTAACAATACAAATCAAGAAACATCAGTTTAGGGGTTTCTAAATTTATTTTTTACCTGATGGAAAAATCAGTTAACTATTCTTGGTAAGGTTACCAGCATGGTTTCAGATAAACTGATGTTTGAAATTCATCAAATTATGTAATGTGAGATAGAATAATATACTTCCAATGCCCTCAAGGCTGTGACCTTACAGCTATTTCACATAGCACATCATTCCTCCTATAGGGATGAACTTTTTCCTGGCACGAAAAGTAGCTGCTGTGGTTGAAGCTTTGCTTATTGTAACAGGCTTTTGTTTCCAGGTAACATGTCTGTGGAAGACTTAATTCTGAATAGAGATATAGATATTACTGGAAACTAATTGTTTTTTTCTATTATACTCTGCTTTATCAAAAAAGTAAAACATATAAATTGTGCTACAGAAATCCAGATGTTGTGTCTTGCGATCTTTAAACAATAAATGAATGATTTCCCCTTAATATGGCTAATGTATTTTGTGTTTTGTTATATTAAATGTTGGACAGAATAATATGGTCGTCTAGTGATGAAACACCACCTACATTTGAACAGCTCAAAAAACATGAAAGGACTAGATTTCCCTACTGCAGAATTACTCTGTTCAGTCTGGTGGGGCATGGAGGTTGTTATATGATCCATTACGAAAACAAAGCACGTGACTCCTACCATGCCCATTCCTGCTTGTTCCTTTTTTGCTGATGATCACTCTGGCTTCATTTACCCTTACAGTCTCTATTCTTAATGCGGTCTATTCTTTGCGTGGCTCTTGGGGGCTAAGTTATTTTCATTCCTGCTCTGTGTGGTTGATTGAACTCAGTCATAGGTGTGAAAGGAGGAGACTATCAATGCATCAGGGATCAGAACAGACTGGCTGCCAGTTTTTTTAAAGATTAAATGAGAGGGAAGCATTTTTTATATAATTTATTTTGTTGTTGAGAATATACACAGCAAAACATACATCAATTCAACAGTTTCTGCATGTACACTTCAGTGACATCAATTACATTCTTCGAGTTGTGACCATTCTCACCCTGAGTTGTTCTTCCCCCATTAACATAAACTCACTGCCCTCTAAGGTTCCTATATAATCTTTCGAGTTGCTGTTGTCAGTTTGATCCCATATAGATCTTAAAAGAGCACATACAATGCTCAAGGCAGACATTCTTTACTAGTTAAGCTAAACTGTTTGGTGGAAACTTTTTTTTTCCCCAATAAAATTTCAGGTAGTAGTTTACTTCTCAACTTTTCTGGGTTGGTATCCTCAGAGCCTTAATGTGGGTGTTTGTTTCCTAAAAGATGGTGTGAGAAGGAATGTGTCCAGTAAGCTACTCATAAAAGTTCTTACCTCTGCCCTCTTGTATTTGTTAAGAATCTGCATCAGTTATTTCCAGTCTACTTGTGCCCTCAGTCTAAAGGAGCTGCCTTGTGTAACTTCTGGACTGCCTGCTGTTTTAAGATTCTATTCCAATCCTAAGCCACTTTTGTGTACTTGAAGCATGTACCTCTTAATGTTAGTTATAGCTAATGTTCGGGTTCTTTACCAACACTGAGGCACACAGTTTTGTATTCTCATATGTTATAGATGAGGAAATGCACTTGTAGAGGGTAATTTGTAAGCTTGTTGTAGAGAGAGGGTTATAATGATAAGCTCCTTCTATCCAATTGCCTATCAGAAAGTACATTTAGAGGCAGTTAGGTGGTCAAGATCTTGGGTTTTGGAACTAGTTCTCCTTTCAGCTCTTGCCACTTTCTAGTTGGGTGATCTCTGTAAAATGAGAGTGCTTAACATTACACACTTTTTAAAGTGTCATTATAAGGAATAAATCTACATAAAACACTTAAAATGGTGCGTAGCACAAAATAAAATACCTTCAAATGCAGGGATTCTTAAATTATGAAACGTGTGGGTGATTGCCAGAAAAAATGGGCACAATCTAGAAAGCATTTGCTTTCCCCTTTTATGTGTTTTTTTTTTTTTGTGTGTGTGTGTGTGTGTTTGGAAACAGTGCCAAAAGCCTTCAAAGTAACCACCTCTTTATCGCAAAGGATGGAGTTCTCCAGTCCTCCCAGCAGCCACCTTCGGAGGGTTCTGGAAGCAAATGTCATGGTTGATAGGCACTGTTGGATTGCTGCCTTGCCGTTATCTAGGAGTTTAGGTGGTCATCCCCCGCTAGCTCGGACTAGTTTAAAGGGCAGGCAAACAGAGGTTTGGGCAACTGAAGCAAGGAACAGGACCCATTTAAGTCTCACAAGGATGAAACTTTGTTAGGGAGAGCAGCTCGATTTTTCCTTGTCACCGAAAAAGTTAATTTAGGCACCTTTTTCCACAGAATCAGGCTCGGGTTCCTGAGCTCTGTATGAAATGGTGCTTTCAGGACAAATAACCCCTGGAAGTGATAAACCCGATTCCGGAAACACTGCAGTTAGGCGCCACATTTAAGTTCATTGTCTCGGAGTTGTGATAGGTGGATTCAATGAAGGCGGGAACTCGTTAGTTCCTACCTCCTGCTGGGTCCCGAGCTCTATAAAAGGTCGTGTGCCTGGCGTCTCTCACAGTTGTACAGGCTCTAGGCCACTTTCAACATGCAGTCAGGGGTGATGGAAGAGTGGAAAGAGGGAAAGAAGAAACAGCAATTGAATGCGGCAGAAGGAGGTAGGTGACTGGTGGGGCTGAGGTGGGTACTGAAAGAGAACAATCTTGAAGATCATCCTGGTTGAGCGGACTTGATAGTTAAAATCAAGTACGCCATACGGCTTGGACTGTGGCCATGAACCTTGGGACTGAGACTCAGGCAAAATACTTGGCCTGTTTACACTTAAATTTTTTTGGAAGAAGAGATTTTTTGTTTTGTTAATGATACTGGTAAGGCGAGGATGAGGAATGGGGAGGTAGAGAATCCTGTGGGGGTGTGAGGGAGCAAAGGTGGGAGGAGGGGGAAGATTTGAAGCCTGATCTGTGGAAGACCGGCTGAGGGCAGAAGTGTGAGTAGGGGTGTGGAGGCACGGAGGGTGAGTGGAGGTCGAGATCTAAACAGTGGAAGACTGGGAATGGGAGGTGAAGGGAGGTGGCAGGTGTTGGGGGATAGAAGTCTGATCTGTGGAAGAGCTGCTGGGGTGGGGGCAAGAGGAGGGAGGTAAAGGAGGGGGAGGGTGGGGGAGAGAGAGGTGCATGGAGGTCTAGGGGGTGGGGAAGGTCGAAGCCTGAACCGTGGAAGACTGGCTGGGGGTGGCAAGTGGGAGTAGGGGGGTGGATGTGTAAGGTGGGTGAGGGCCTGGGAGGCATCGGGACTTGAGCGGTGGAAGACAGGCTGGGGGCAGGAGGTGGGAGTAGAAGGGTGGAAGAGTCGGGGTTGACGGTGTGGGAGCGGAGGGCGGGTAGGGGAAGTCAAAGCCTGATTGGTGGGAGACTGGCGGGAGGCGGTAGAAAGGGGGGTGGAGGTTGGTGATAGGAGGGGGGATCAAAGATTGGTGGAAGACTGGCTGGGGAAGCAGGAGCAGGGGAGTGGAGGTGTGGGGGAATGGAGGGTGGTTGGGGGGGTGTGGGCGTTGAGGCCCGAGTGGTGGAAAACCACTGACTGGAGGTGGGAGTAGGGAGTGGAGGCGCAGACAACGAGTGGGGAAGTGAGGCGATTGAAGCCTGATTGGTGGAAGACCTGCTGGAGGAGGGGGGTGGAGTCGAGGCCTGAGCGTTGGAAGACCGGTTGAGAGTGTGAAGGGGGGAATAGTGGGGTGTTGGAGGTAGAAGTCCGTTTGGGACCAGGAGAGTAGGGGTTAGTGCATAATAAAGTCTTATGATAGAAAATTTAGCTGGGGGCTAATAAATGAGTGATTCTCTTGCACACCTCCTTAACATGTGGTGGTTGAGGTGATGCCTTATGCTTTGGGCTTTCTGATCTGCAAAGAACCTTGGGGCAAGGTGGGATGGGTATTATGCTTGCTGTCTCTAGTTTTCTCCAGCCAGGAAAATTCCGCAACAAAACAAATTTATATAATTCTCACTTCACAGAGCAAAGTTTAGACTTTAAGTTTAAATCAGGGTGAAGAAGGTGCTCAAAGATAAATGCAAAATGTAGGATGTCTTACTGGTTCTGGGTACTAGTTTTCTTAAGAAAGTATACCTTTGTCTTGAATACAGACATGGAAATGCCCAAAGGAGAAGAGGCTAGTGGATCGCAGATCCAGGATGATGACTGGTGAGATGTGAAAAATTCTATTTCCCCTTAGTTAAGTCCTCCTCTGTTGGCAAAACAACTTTCTCAAAAAGTATATGTTTATTTCATTTAGAGTCTGCAGAGTGTATAACTTGGTTAGTCATAAAATGAGAATTGTAAAAAAGGATCTTAGAATAATAAAAATCTAGACTCCTAATCAATGCATAAATACTCTATATAAAATCAGTTAGTGGCTGGGAGGTCACAACTTCATAAAGCAACACAATTTCTGTGTAGTTTCTAGAAGGTTCTTCATTGTGTTAAACTTAAAACCCGTAACTTCCACTCCATCCTGGACAGTGCTGCCCTCTAGAGGTATTTTTCTCCATGATAACACAATGTGTTTTAGGATAGCTATGTTATCTCCACCAAGTCTTCTCCTGGAATACTGCCCTGTTTTCTTCATTCCCAGACAAGTAAGTAAGTATAATAATAGGAGAAGTTATAAAACATAGAGTAAAGAGTCTGGGAATAGACTCAAATACATATGAAAATTTAGCTTATGATAAAAACATTACAAATCACTAGGGAAAAGATGGATTACTGAACAAATAATTTGAGGATAATTGGCTAACTATATAGAAAAAAAAAAGTTAGATTATTACCTTATCACTCCTTATACCAAAATAAATTACACATAGATCAAATATTTAAACAAACAAACAAAAAAAGAAATCATTAAAAATACTAGAGAAAACATAGATGGATTTTCCAATAATTTTAGAGTGGGGAAGGTCTAAGTTTAATATCAAAACCAAAAGCATAAAAGGATAAAAAAACTGGAAAAAAATATTTGCATTACATATGATAAAGAGCTAATTTCCTTAATCTACAAAGAACCTTCACAAATAAAAAAAGGTGAATAAACCAATAGAAAATGAGCGAAGGATATTAAAAGATAGTTCTCAGGGAAAGAAATACAAGTGACCCATAGACATTAAAATTTATTCAACTTTTAATTACATTATGTACAATTAAAGAAATGAAGATTTTAAATATGAGATGCCATTTTTCACATATTAGATTGACAAAGATTATAAAAAAGTTTGATAATGCCTAGTGTTGGCAAATTTGTAGGAAAGCAGGCAGTGTCATACAATCTTAGTGGGAGTATAAATTGGTGCAATCTTTTGGAGGGTAATCTGGCAATATTAAAATTTTAAATGCCATGTGACTTCCTTCCACTTTTAAAAGCAGCATTATATTTAGTTTCTTTAGACATATATTCTCATATAATTTTATATAACTGCATAAGTGTGTTTATGTCATACATGCCCTTTTTTATTGTGCTTTAAGTGAAAGTTTATGATTCAAGTTAGTTTCTCATACAAAAATTTATACACACATTGTTATGTGACCCTAGTTGCTCTCCCTTTACTGTGACAGCACGCTCCTCCTTTCCACCCCAGATTTCCCGTGTCCATTCAACCAGCTCTTGACCCTCTCTGCCTTCTCATCTCGCCTCCGGACAGGAGCTGCCCATTTACTCTCATGTATCTTCTTGAGCTTAGAAGCACACTCTTCACGAGTATCATTTTATGTCCCATAGACCAGTCTAATCTTTGTCTGAAGAGCTAGCCTCGGGAATGGTTTTAGTTTTGGGCTAACAGAGAGTCGGGGGGAACATGTCTTCTGGGGTCCCACCAGTCTCAGTCAAACCATTAAGTCTGGTCTTTTTACTAGAGTTCTGCACCCCACTTTTCTCCTGCTCTGTCAGGGACTCTCTGTTGTGTTCCCTGTCAGGGCAGTCACTGGTGGTGGCCAGACACCATCTAGTTCTTCTGGTCTCAGGCTGATGGAGTCTCTGGTTTACATGGCCCTTTCTGTCTCTTGGGCTAATATTTTCCTTGTGTCTTTGGTGTTCTTTGTTCTTCTTTGCTCCAGGTAGGTTGGGACCAATTGATGCATCTTAGATGGCTGCTTGCTAGCTTTTAAGACCCAAGATGCCACTCACCACAGCGGGATGCAGAATATTTTCTTAATAAACTTTTTATGCCAGTTGACCTAGATGTCACCTGAAACCATGAGCCTGAGACCCTGTCCCTGCTACTCTGACCCTCAAAGTGTCTGGTTGTATTCAGGAAACTTCTTAGCTTTTGGTTTAATCCAGTTGTGCTGACTTCCCCTGTATTGTGTGTTGTCCTTCCCTTCACCTAAGATAATTCTTATTTACTACCTAGTTAGTGAATAACCCTCTCCCTCCTTCCCCACTCTCGTAACCATCAAAGAATGTTTTCTTCTGTGTTATACCTTTTCTTGAGTTCTTATAATAGTGGTCTCATACAATATTTGTCCTTTTGCAACTGACTAAATTCACTTAGCATAATGCCTTTCAGATTCCTCCACATTATGTTTCATGGATTCATCGTTGTTCTTTATTGTTGCGTAGTATTCCATTGTGTGAATATATCATAATTTGGTTATCCATTTATCTGTTGATGGGCACTTAGGTGGTTTCCATTTTTTGCTATCATGAACAGTGCTGCAGTGAACATGGGTGTACGTTTATCTATTCACGTGATGGCTCTTATGTCTCTAGGATATATTCCAAGGACAGGGATTGCTGGATTATATGGTACTTGTATTTCTAGCTTTTTAAGGAAGTGCCAAATCAATTTCCTAAGTGGTTGTGCCATTTTACATTCCCACCAACAGTGTATAAGCGTTCTAGTCTCTCCACAACCTCTCCAACATTTATTATTTTGTGTTTTTTGGATTAATGCTAGCCTTGTTGGGGTGAGATGGTATCTCATTGTAGTTT